TTATATTTGTACTTTTTTATTATTTTATAATGTGTATATATACATATCATATATAATTTATATAATAATCTATAAATAAAATTATAATAAATTAAAAAATAGAAAGTGAGGTTTTGTAAGAATCTCTATTGTCGAGTTTTATTAAGGTTCTTACTTTGTTGAAGTGACAATGATATAACAGGAAAAAATATAGCAAGTGAGGTTCTAAGAAGTTCCACCACTATGGATGCTCTTAGATCTAGATAGGGAGGTTATATGCAGTTGGATTTAAAGGAAAATTAAAAGAAACGGATGAACATTCTAATAAATGTTGATTCCTTTTAATCACTGTTTGGAAAAGCTCGGTGCAACAGCCGTCATGGTGTGTCGTAGTTCAAGACTTGTGTCTCACGCCATGTTAAGTCTGAGATACGCCATGGCGTAATGCGCGATTTTTGTAACACGATATTTGATTTTACTTATATTTTAATGTCTTATTTATTAGTTTTCAATATATAACTTAATTTAAATTGTTTATTATCATTGATTCAATGAGTATTAGTTGAAGACATATACTTATGTATATAATATATATGTGATGTAGAGACATACACAAAAAGTATTAAATTTACTTTAAACTCGAAGAAACAGTTAAAGTAAAACTTAAAAGGCTAATCAATGAATGACTAACCATTGAATGGATCGTGACTATCAGGACGTACTACAACAAAATTGATTTTACAGGATGTCTAAAATGTCCCATAAGATAGTTAATATGACACTTTATTTTATAAGTTTCAATAAAAAACTTTTTAAAACGCCTAAAAGCGTTCCATAAACCTATTGTAATACTTTTAGCTACGACGCTTTATCGTTTGGTCCTATGAACTTATCTTCTACAAAGTATTTTATTAAGACGCTTAGACAATCTAAACGTCATATAAATCAAACTTTGTTGTAGTCATGTCAACTTATAAACTTACTTTTCGTTTGTACCTTTCACGCATAGACGGACCTAGAGGGGTGGTTAGGTGGCCCGTGCCACCGTATTGTTCCTCCGTGGTAAGGTTAAAAAAAAGTTAGGTTCGTGAAAGGTGCAACCGTTTTATATGGTACTACCGTATCAAAAAATTATTGGGTTGGTCCCTGCTTTCACATGTATCAAACAGAGTTATCTCAAGCTCAAAAATTACAATTTCAAACCTTTAACCACAACAAAGGCGAGCCAATTACATGCACAAACTAAACCAAGAAGATTGTTCAATTAAAACCATAAAGATTGTGACGTAGTGGTTGAGGTTCTGGGGGATGTGGTGGAATATCCTATCTTTCCAGAGCTCGATTCCAGTGTACACAACAATTATGACCACTGAATTTATCATGGTTGATTTTTACAGTCACAATTTGCTGGACTGTTGTTCACTGAAGTTGAACTAGAGTCACTTGGCCATCAATCTTGCACGGATTTGGATGAAGTTTTTCTTATAATTTTAGCCTCGAAGTTACTCGTGTCAGATTCGTTCTTTATAACCTCGACACCCATTGAGTTCTTGTTAGCAACAAACGATAGTGAACGGTGAGAAGAAACGTTATTGGTATCCTGCAATGATGCACGATCGCTAGCCCTAATTTGCTCGAGCTCAACAAGAACTTCTGTCATCGGGGGTCTCATATCACTATCGAACGCGAGGCATCTGAAAGCCACCTCGGAAACCTTATGAATTGAGTTACAGGTTGATGTGTCTTTGTTTCGCACGAGGAATGGATCGATTATCTCATCCAAACACCCCCTTCCGATTCTATCGATGGCTAGAGATGCCAAATTGATGTCATTACGATCTCGTGAAAAGTCTACAGCTTTCAAAGATGTTATGATCTCAACCAACACGACCCCAAAGCTATAAACATCGCTTTTATCGGATAGATGAAAGTTCTGATGATATTGCGGATCAAGATAACCCGGTGTCCCTTGTGGTGCTGTTGAAACGTGTGACGATTCTATTATTCCGAGTCTGGAAAGACCAAAATCTGCTACTTTTGTTTTGAAATTGTAATCCAATAATATATTGCTCGACTTTATGTCTCGATGATAAATTGGGGGGTTCATAGTCGAGTGTAGATAAGATATCGCTTGAGCAGTTTCAATGGCAATCGTAAGACGAACGGGCCAAGGTAGCCCGTTACCTCTCTCTTTTTGCAAATGTTGGGATAAGGTTCCGTTCGGCATGAACTCGTACACGAGTATCTGATCATCATTGTCAACAGAACAACCTAATAAACGAACAAGATTCGGGTGGCTTACCGACGAAAGGAGATTGATCTCATTCATGACTTGCTCGATATTATCGGTATCGTACCGATGTCTAATCCGTTTAATCGCTACCCATTCGCCATTACGTAGTTTGCCGGAGTAGACCGTGCCGTAAGCTCCCGTTCCGAGCTTTTGCTTATCGGAGAAACTATTTGTGGCCTTCTCAATTTCTTTGTAGGGATATATGGGAATAGTTATGCCTTTCACTCCACAAAACCGACGGTTTCTCTTGTATCGGTATTTTGAAATGGTACGGTGACGAAGGTAGCAATAAACTAGGCACACACAAACAATCGACGATGCTCCGATTGTAACAGCTGAGAATGATTGCGATTTTGTTTAATGAATTAAATAAAAAAAGTTAGAAGACGTGAAACTCCGTATCAGTATCCAAAAAAGTCCATTGATACTGAGTTTCACGTATTTATAAAAAAATAAATAAAAAATAAGAGAAAATACCTCCGATGAGAATGCCGACTCTACTCTTTCCTTCGCAACGACCGGTCAAATATTTTGAAAGATTACAAGGAGAAGAACCTAATTGTATTATTTAATAAACGTTAATATTATTATTTTTTAATATATTTTATATTAATAGAAAATAAACCAAGTTGCATTTTTAAATTTAAATGCGAATAAGTTGACTTTACTAATTACTACGCCATTGATATATGGCTTTCTAGGGTGGGCCCATATGACCATCCACTAATTGGTTGAGTTGAGTAACCAATTAAAATGCATTCACATTTAGTTGGATTAAAAAACGGTTGTAAGCTAGAGTGTAAATGATACGAGACAACTCGCGAGTTATTTGAGATCGACTCGGTCAAAACTCGGTTAACACTCGACTCGATATATTAACGAGTCGAGTCAATCTATACCATATTCGACTCGAAAAACTCGTGAGATACTTAATTATTTTATATATAATTAGTTTTAGAATATAATAAGTTTCTATGATAAAATTTATAAAATATAAATAATAAAAATGTTTTATATTTTTAGATATTTAAACAAAATAATGCATTTTTAATTATAAAACTTAATCAATTATTTTTTATTTATTAAAATCACAATTAAAAAAATGACAGAAAAATTATAAAAAACGTTGGTGAAATTTTCTCACGTTAAAAGAGAGATGATAAAGAAAGAGAGAAAAAATGTTATAAAAAGAGATGGAGGTGAATGTAATTTCTAACTTTGTCTTTTTTATGATGAAGTTTGAAGTTGATACTTTAGTTTTATAAAAACTAAGGGAACACCTTTAAATTTTAAAATTTATAAGAAAAAAACCCTAAAATTTCATAAATTTCAATGGGTGAGCGTGATTCGAGTTTGATTTGAGTTTGAGCTTGATTCGAGTTCGAGTTTAGGAAATAGTTATCGAGTTCGAGTCGAACTTTGATTTTTACTACTAGCGAGTTTTCGAGTCGAGTTCGAGCTTGAAAATTGAGTTTTGAGTTCGAGTATAGTAATACTCGAACTCGACTAGCATCATTTACACCCCTAACTTGTAAGATAAAAATTTGGTTTATAAATAGTTTTAGAATTAACTAGAATAGTGCTCGCGCAATGCAGCGAAATATATATCCCGATTTTAATGTTTTATTTTATTCTTTGTGTCTATGGATATTATAATACGATTTTATGTGTTTTTAAGAAAGCAATAATGATTTTATTTTTGAATAAAATATAAATTTGAAAAATATATATCAATATTAGTATCAAATCAAATATTTACAAGTTTTATTTTTATGTAATTTCTTTAATTTATTTTTTTATTATAATTTAATTTAAATTTAATAATATAATATTTTATAAAGATAATAATTAAGTAAACTATTTTTAAATACAATTAATTTAAGTAGATAGTGGGGTTTCTAATATTCATTCAATCACTTATTATCCCTTAGACGAGAAGTAACATACAATTATTTTATATTTTTATATTATTGGAATTTCAGAAAATAGTTCCGGTGACGTGACAACGTACCTTTCCGGCAGCCGGAGTTAGCTTTGTATCCATCACCAACGAACCCATCCTGACATTGACATCGATAGGCAGCGCTTCCATCGGCCGGCGACACGATCTTGGTACAAATAGCATCATCGGAACACTGGCACTGACCCTTAAGCCACCACCCTAACTTAACCACCTGAACATCCAAAGACACCGCCGGACTATCTCCGATCATCTGTGACACAATCCCCGAAAGCAAAACCCGGCATCCTGTCCTCGTCAGATTCTCATAATCAAGAAACATACGGTGCTTATCGCCGGAGTAACAGCTCACGTTACTGTAAACATTACTTTCACCTCCGCAATCAAGAATCTCGAGGTGGGTTTGCACCATCGTCGCCGGAATCATGCAAGTCCTCACCTGACCTGTGCAGTTTTCCATGAGGATGGCGTTGTTAGACGTCGGCGCGTAGTGGTCACTGTAGAGACGGTGGAAGGCGGCGACTGCGCGTCCACATTTGGCGGGAAGGCTGACAAGCAAAGCGTCTTGGTTGATTTCTTGAACATCGAATTCGCTGATTGAAACGGTGCCGTTTGAAGCGCAATTCAGTTGAATTTCACAGCCGGAGGAGAAGCCGAATGGGTAGGGAACATGCTTCAGTACGCCGCCGGGACATTTCCGGTCACAGTAAATGGATTTCTGAGATTTGAACGATGGGAATTTCGAAATGAAAATTAAAAATAAAATAGAAATCTTTAAATTCATTATTATTTGTAGAAATTAAAATCAAGAAAATTGGAAAACAATTTGCATCGAGATATCAAACAAAGAGAGATGAAGGTAGGAATGAAGGTCGAGGAGATTGAGGATGACTTCGATGTCAAAGAGAAGAACATATATAAATAATAATAAATGTTATTATTAAAATATATTTAAGTTAAATAAATATTTCTTATTTTTAACAAAATCTCAAACTATATTAATTTTGGAATTCTAATATCATTTTCTTGTTTACTCAATAAATATTTGATATTGTATTTCATTCAAAAACTTAAAATCAACGTTTTAGATTTTAACCAAATGAAAATTTTATACATATTATTATCTTTGTAACTTAAAATTGAATAAATTCTTATATATTTCATCGAGTTTTAATATCGAAATAGGCTAAAATACTAAAACAATAAAATTTATTTATTTTAATATCATATATATATATATATATATATATATATATATATGTGTGTGTGTGTAGAGGTTGGTTATTATACAACCATTGACATTTGTACAACCAATACAACCCAATCTCAACCGTCCATTTTATTTGATTAATATGTGATTTCATAGAAATTTTGATTGTTTCCTAATATAAAGTATTGATCATAATTAATGAACCATATTCTTCTTCCATAAATATTCAAATCATAATAAACGAGTTCTTATCATTTCTATAAATATATCAATTTATTGGGTTGCATTGTTTGTACAAATACGATGAGTTGTATTTGAAAATATATCAATTTATTGGGTTACATTTGTTGTACAAATATAATGGGTTGTATTTGAAACAAATTCTATGTGTATATATATACACTAGTTGTGTACCCGTACAATGCGGCGGAGAATCGTGAATTTTAACGATTTTGAAGTTTTACTGGTTTTATTAGAGAAGATTTAACGATGATATAAATTACACTTGGTCTTTACATGTTAATACAATTTGAATAGATAAGAGTTATGATTCCAATTACAGTTTATCGATAGAAAAAATTGTATGATAGTGTAAAATCCAACATATTTAAACAACTCCACAAATGTGTTCGATTTACACCAAGAGCAAAGAATCAAGAGAGCGAGACCGAGAGTTCTAGAACAATTATGAGAGATGAATGAGAGAACTTTTAATAACTCATGGTGAATATCAATTTGAATCTCACATTGGGGGATGAGGAGAAGACATAGAGGTATGAGAAGGTAAAGATGTGAGTGAAATGTGTCAAAATTATCTTGGGAACATGAAAATAAAAAGTAATAGTGTGCAATGGTAACTTGTACTATATGTTATTTTAATTGTAGAATAAAATATTTTAAAACTACATGCATAAAATAGTAGTACCTAATGCATTATGAGTTGTTTTTAAGACTTTTAATACTTTGTGCATTAAAAATTGTTTTTAAGACTTTTGAAAAATCTAGTTTATATATATATACACACACACTGCTTTTACTTTTTTTTATACGAATAAGACAATAAAATAGACAAAAGATTAAAATGACATTTGATTTAACGACGTTAACGAAGATGTTAATCAGAAGAATCATGACCAAAACAAATTGAATATCACAAGAATCGTATCCAAAATAAACATACCATAAAGACAATAATAAAAACAACACACGTTAAACAGATTCACAATTCACTCAATAATTTACAACCAAAAGTTTATGCATTAAGTGCATAATTAATTTAGTTGTTGGTAAAGGGATACGGAATGAGTTATGATATCAAAGCTAAATATGGATAGAACCTAATAGTGGCAATAATAGATTTAGGAGATGTTTAGGAACTATTTCAAACGAAATTATCAGTTACATCGAACTAAATATGACTGTTTTTTTAATGTTTGGAGAGTTTAAGAGTCTGATTTGATATGGAAAATTGAACAACCGAACGATCTAATATACGATTTTAAGGGTTTTTTGGCCATGTAAAATGGTCAGACTGTTTGTGTGTGTGTATATAGAAAGAGAGGAGGACAATTTGTAAACTTTTGATTTGTAACGGTTTATTTATGATTTTTTTTTATTTTTTTTTTCTAATTTCATTATTTTCAGCAATGAAAAAGGAAACATGAAACCATTGTTTCATTATTTTTAGCAATGAAAATAAACATGAAACCACAATTTCATTGTTTCAGCAATAAAACATGAAACTGCTTTTCATTACTTTCGTACAATGAAACACAAAACCGCTTTTCATTACTTTCGTACAATGAAACACGAAGCCACTATTTCATTAGCAGAACATTAAACATGAAATCATTATTTCGTCAGCGAAACATGAAACTACTATTCCATTATTTAAACATGAAGCATGAAACTAATAATTCATATTTTCAGTTAAAAAACATGAATTAACTGGATTTTGTTATGGTTTCATGAATAAAATTGAGTTTTTTGTATTTGGTTTATGTCTGGTTTTATAAATGCAATTGATCGGATGTTTTGTATCTTTCATCGATTGGTGGATAATGAAGATTAATTAGGAGAGATATATAATGCGTAAACTGTTACGTTATTTAGAAGGATCTATTAGTGGATATGAAGATTAATTAGAATAGATCATGTATAAATTATTTATTTGTTTCGAGGGACTTCATTACTTGTTATGAATAAGACTCAGGGTTGTTTGTTTCCTCACAATTGTTGATATGTTACGATCAATCCTTCTAATACATAATTAAAACTTTAAACCATCATTAAATAAATCTCTTCAAAAATATTAAACATGACACATTTTTTTTTTGATTTACCGAATATATAAAAAATTAAAATTTCTATTTTTCATACAAAGTCTACACATACAAAAACCATATGAATATCATATTTTATTTGTTTTCAAATAAATAAATACATAAACATCATTTTAAGTGTTTGTTTAAATAATATAAATATAAAATGTAACAATTTTTACATGAATTTTATGGACTAAAAAACACTTAAAATGATGTTTATGTATTTATTTATTTGAAAACAAATAAAATGTGATATTCATGTGGAATTTGTAAGTGTATTTATTTGCTTTTAAAAATATTAAATGAGATATAATATATAGATGAAATAAAAACCGGAATAGAAAACAAAAGGTCTAGAACATTTATGAGTTATGAAAGATAATTAATATAACCAACAAAATAAATCTAAAAATTTGAAAAAAAAAATGAATTATGAAATATATAGATAGATAAAAAACAGAATAAAAAACAATGTCTAGAACATTTATGAGTTAATGAAATATAATTAATATAACCAACAAAATAAGTCCAAAATAAATCTAAAAATTTGAAAAAAATGAATTATGAAATAACTTTTGCACAAAGTGTCACATAAGAAACTTCATATTTTATTTTTAGATTTATATAAAATAATGATGCCAAATGCTCAATTAAGGACATCTCTGACTTGAAAAATTTTGTTTTCATTTTGGAGAAAATAATGAAATACACATTTTTCATTCACGGGTAAAAAAAAGTACTTAAATTATTTAACATTTCATAAATTAAAAACAATGGGAAAATCTCTTGAGAAAATCATATTGATAATGTGCCACAACATTTATTCTAAGTTTATTTTAGTTAGTAGATGAAAATAGTATAATGAATATCCTATGAAGTTATGTAATGTGAAAGTTAAAGTTAATTAAGTTGGAAATGGTCATAGAAGTCTTCTTATATATAATGGAATACATATTTATCATTTAAGGGTATAATAATATAACTTATTTAATATTATAAAAACATTGACAAATCATGGAKGAGCACATGAAAGTGTTTAAAGGTTTCATCTCCAAGAATGAAGAGGAAAAAGTTGGAGGTTAACATTTTTAAGATTACCAAAACAACCCTATTTTAATGAATTTCATGTTTTAAAATAGGGATAAAAAAGTCTTTTACATATCAAATATTTTAAAAAAAATAAAAATTTAGGAAAAAATAAAAAAGAAAGATAAGTTTCTAATATTTAGAGAAAAGCGAAGGTAAAGATGTGAGTGAAATGTGTCAAAATTATCTTGGGAACATGAAAATAAAAAGTAATAGTGTGCAATGGTAACTTGTACTATATGTTATTTTAATTGTAGAATAAAATATTTTAAAACTACATGCATAAAATAGTAGTACCTAATGCATTATGAGTTGTTTTTAAGACTTTTAATACTTTGTGCATTAAAAATTGTTTTTAAGACTTTTGAAAAATCTAGTTTATATATATATACACATATATACATATATATTGATGATTATTAATCACGTATAAACAATTATTGTGAACGGAGTTTAAATTCGTTTCTATAATATCTTGTAAACATTAACTATCAAAACTTTATTTGAAATTATATGATCCAATCGTAAACACAATCATGTCTTACGATAACAACAAATCCAACAATATTGAAAAGAAAAAAATATGTAATAACAAATCAAATTTTGTAAATAATATAATTTTTACATATCTTTTAAAAGCTTTTAAGTTTTCTTCAACTTTTATTTATTCATTACTCACCAAAGGATTTCTATTAATTGAAAAAAATCTTGAAATAGTCAAAATTTAACTGTAATTATCAATCACGTATAAATAGTTATTGTTAATGAAACTTAAATTCGAAAAAAGTTTATCATATTCTGTGATTATAAAATATCAAAATTTTATTCGAATTTATATGATCAAATCATAAACACAATTTATATGATCCAATGTCAACACAATCATATCCTATGATAATAACACATCCAACAATATTGAAAAAGAAATATATAATAACAAATCACATTTTTTAATGAATATAATTTCTACATATCTTTTAAAATCTTTGAGTTCTTCTTCAACTCTCATTTTCTTCATCCCTCACCAAAGGATTTTATATGATTTCAATTTGTTTATTATTGAAACTTTAAAAAACAAATTTCATTAAAAAATAAAAGAAAGTAAATGGAAGAGCAAATCAAGAGTTGGAG